CGCAATTGGTTCACTACCTATGTCATTCAGTAATCAAAGATGATCTTCACCTTGTTCTGGTTAACACAAAATCCAGTCCCTATTTTGTAGCAGACAATCTGTCGTTCTGTGAAGTGAATGCAAATTTGACAATAAAAAGCACATCACATGATGCTATCATAGAATGCAAGTCAAAGATTGGATTTCTCTTTATTAATATNTCAGTTACCATAGATGGTGTGACATTTAAAGGTTGCGGAGCTTGCATACAAAATTTAAATAATTCTTCAATTTTGTCTCTCTTAAACACCACGGAGACATTTCACTTGCTTGACAAATTTGCTGCTGTAATATTTATAAATTCACATGTCAGTATCAACTCCTCAGTGTTTAATGTTTCTTCAGGATTTGACATTGTTGGTGTTAACCTATTTCAGTTTGATTTCTTCGGCAATAATAAAATACTGTATCTAAATCCAGTGAAGAAATGTGGAGATGACCAAGGAAGTGGGATTTTTTTATTTTTTTCAGATGCCAGCTTAAGTCATGAACATGTCAACGTCAACATTAAAGATAATTTATTTCAAAAACAAAACAATCACACATGCTGTATGTCATTTAAATGTGCTGATATGATAACGTTGATGTATACACAAAGCCGTTTCAAAATAACAACAATGGTTTATCATAATCAATTTAAGTTTCACAAATCAAATGCAGTGCTTGTTAGGTATAATTATGCTTATCGTTCATCAACCACAATAAAGAAGTGTATATTTAAAGGACATTATAGTGGACATAGTGTTATTTTTACAGGTCAGTTAAATACCAGCACACCAGAGGGATTTGATAATACATGGGCAGCAATAGTGATCAATACTACATCTTTTTGGTCATCTATGGGAGTTAAAATCAATATTACTCCCACAAACAAAATCAGTACAAGCATTTTTCTTTCATTTGTTACATTCATAAGCAACAGAGCTTGTATTTTTGTGCAATCAGATAGTCGTCATGCAAATATCTCTGTATTTATGGCTCAAATCACTGCTATTAATAATACTGTCACTTTATCAGATCGACCTATTTATCAGCTATATGGTTTATCTATATTTGAAAACATTAGTACAATATACTTTGATAGCTCCAATTTCTTGAACAATTATGGTTCACTTATTGCTGTAAATGAAGTTAATATAATTTTTAAGGGAAATAACAGATTTGTTGAAAATGCTGCACAATTTGGGGCAGCAATTTATTTGATAAACTCTCAGATTTTCCTGAATGGCACAAACTTGTTGTTTTGCAACAACACTGCAATTCAATCAGGAGGTGCAATTTATGCACTTAACAGGAATGGAAAGCAAATTTTTTATGAAATAAATGGAACAATCAACAATCTTGATTTCATCACTAATGCAGCATTTATGTCAGGTAATGCTATTTATGCAATTCCACTTATTAAGGAAGGACTTTACCAAAAAATGAAGTTTGTTTCAATAAATAATTCGCTGTATGATACGTCAACCGAGGCAGAAGTAACAGAACTTTGTCAGAATCCAAACAAGCATATATATGCAGGGCAGAAAGTAACAATATTTCTAAGGACAATAGATAAATTGAATCGAAATGTGCAATCGTTTGTTTTTATTACTATTTCTAAAGGCAGCTCAAGTATGTCACCTCATTTTTATGAGGTTTACAAATCAGATTGGCACATGCCAATAATAGAAAACTATCAACTTATTGAGGAGAAAAATGATAGTAGATCTAATTGTACAGCTTTGAATCTAACTCTTCTGACAAATGACATCAATCCCTATCCAGGGGTAATAATAGTAGACCTATCATTAAAATCCAGAAATAAAATAAATCGAAATGAGTACCCTATAAAATTTCGTTCATGTCCAATTGGTTTTGAAAATAAAGGCAATGAAATATGCGAGTGTGATACATTAATCAAGGCTCCATCCAGAAACTGTGACATCTCAAGTAAAAACATAACCTCAGATGACATCTCCTGGATAGGGATGTATAAGGGATCCAATAACAAAAGTACATTGGCATACTCACAATATTGCTCAATCGGGTACTGCATTATTTCAAGATTGCTAGGAACTTCCAGGACTATCAAAGTTAATGATGACATTAATGTATTTGAAGTTGTTCTTAGTAATGAGGTTAGTACTAGCTCTAAATCAATGTGTGAATCAAACAGAGGTGGGATTTTGTGTGGAGAGTGCATCAATGGAACTAGCATTGTTTATGGACCAAACAATTGTCAAGTTTGTAGTGACTGGTGGTTGCTAACTTTGATGGTTTATTTAACAGCTGGTCCTTTACTCATTTACTTGTTATATGCTCTAAAACTGACGATTACAACTGGTACAATCAATGGCATTATATTCTATGCTCAAGCTGCCAATTGTGGGCTGACAACTATTTTACAGTATCCTAAATATACTCATGAAGGCTATTTATCACTGTGTTCAACCATTGCAATTGCTTTCCTGAAACTTTTAAATTTAGAAGTAGGATATCCAACTTGTTTATACAATGGAATGGACATGTTAGTTAAAATGTACTTCAGTTTCATAGAAATCCTTTATTTACTTTCAATATTGCTGCTGATTATTATTTTCAGTCGCTATTCAACAAGGCTCTCTAACTATATAGCCGATTCATCAATTCAAGTATTGGTCACTATTCTACACATATCATTTTATAAAATAATTAATTCAGTTGTTACTGTACTCTCATACACTGAAGTACACACAAAAGCTTTCGGCACAATAAGTGTTTGGACATATGATGGCTCGATTGTTTACTTTTCAAAGGAACATACAGCATTGGTGATCTTCACTCTTTTCATTGCTAGTATACTTTTGGTACCTTATATTGCCTTACTGTTAGGAGGAAGAGTGCTATTGAAATACAGTGACAAGTTCAGACCAGTATATGAAGCCATTCACGGTCCTTATAAAGAGAAAAAGAACTACTGGTTCACTGCAAGGTTGTTTCTGTTAATAGCTATTAATGTCATATACTTATCCCTTCATTCTGTTAATCCCAGCTATATTGTACTGTTCACCAGTGTATTGCTGATGGTGTTCACAATAGTACAAGCTCATATCAGACCTTTTAAGAATCATTTAATCAATATTTTGGATCTGCTGGTGATGGTATTGTTTTTCTTTCAATACATGTTCTCTTGGTTTGCCATTTTTTATGAGTATAAGCATTGGAACTATCTTTGGGTGTTTGTTGCCTCTGTTATGCTTCTCTTTATATTCTTTATTGCTGTGATTTTTGGTCATGTTCTTTGGGTAACTGGAAAATACAAAAAAGTGAAGGATTTGTTTCGTCGTGACATGTCCCGCAGTGTCTTTCGAATTAACATTCATCGTAAGAGAGTTAGGCTCAATAGCTGCAATGATGACTCATATTATCAGTCCTGTGATATTCGTGATTCAATACTTGACTCTCATTGATTTTTATTTTTCTTATTCTTTGTGTGTTGTTCTACATTTTCAAAAGAATCATAATTTTGCTAATGCTATACTGGTATATTGTGTACAGCTTCTGCTAGTGACCCAGCACAAAAATGATGGCAAATACTGCACATGGATTGTATAGATATATAATCTTCAATAAGTGAAGACAAGAATAAGAGCAAGTGGCCCTATGTCCTTTGCACTCATCTAGTTGCTGATTTGAAAAATCATTTGCAAATACATCAAAATTATAAAAATTTCAATTTTGCACACGTTTCTACAAAAAATGTTAATCTTTTTCTAACATATTCATAATAAGGTAGTGCATAACAAGTTTCCCTGTGATGTTCATCTAGCCTGAGTGTCCTCAGTGTATTATTGGCCCTGAGTGATTCAATCAGTAAGATTACTCCATCAGTATCAATGTTAGTCCAGTGGAGATCAAGGAAGTTGAGTGTGTTGTTAGCAAGTAAAAGTCTAGCCAGTGACTGAGCGCTAGCTGAAGTGAGAGGATTGTATTGAAGATTTAAGAATTTAAGTGTTTCATTACATTAATTGTAGTGATTATTCTAGTGCAGTCACTCCATTGTTCCTCATTGAACCACATATAAAAAAAACATAGTCAATCATGAAGTTATCCTCCAAACAAAATAACTTCCATTTAGATATTTCTCAGAAAAAAAGAATACTACTTACTAAATTATTATTACACATGCAATAGATCTACTGCAGCTTTGGATGATGATGATAAAATAGCTGAAGCTGAAAGTAATTAAGATCAAAATGAATAATAGTAGATTAGTTTATACATGATAGCAAGAGTAGATAGGAACAATAGTAGTACAACTAAAATGTGCCTCTGTGAAGTATTTTGTAAATGGCCAGTGATCATTGTTGGGAACATGTTGAATAAAGGTTTAAAGCAAGTTTGTGATGACATATGAGACTGGACTAGATTGTATTCTTTTTTGATAAATCTATGTTATTTCATTGAAAGAAATTCTATAATTATTTTATAAATCCACACATAATAAATTAAATTTGCATATCAAAAATTACTTATTAAAAGACTAATCTGCCTTTAATATGCTCATAATAAGGCAAATTAGAACAAACTTTGTTATGTTCTTTATCTAGCCAAAGCTCCTCTAGTGCAGTATTGATCGTAAGTGATTCCATTAGTATCATTACTCCATCAGTATCAATGCTAGTATGGCTGAGATCAAGGTAACTGAGTGTGTTATTTATGAGTAAAAGTTCAGCCAGTGAGTGAGCACAGACTGAAGTGATGCCAGGATTGTAGCTAAGTTGCAAGTATTGAAGCATTTTATTGTATTGTAGTGATTGTGCTAGTGAAGTGACTCCATCATCACTGATTGAACCATTGTATAGGGATAAAGCAGTTAAAGATTTGTTAGCTGATAGTTGAGAAGAGAATGAGAGGATGTCATCACGTGATAAGAATGATGAGGACATAAAAAGTTGTTTTATTGTACTTCTCTCCAATAAAGCTGGTATTAGGAACTGTGTACTGTCAGATGATGAGTCTTTTAGTATAATGACGTCATCGTCCTCTTGCAGTTTACTGATTACCTCTATGCATTGATCTACTGATGGTTTATAAAGCTGTACACCATCCTGACTCCATTTCACCTCTCCATCCTCTTGTACTATTAACAAACACATTAGTCAGTTAATGCAATATAAATAAAATGGTTTGTTGATAGTACAATAAAAGTAGATCAAAGTAGTTTTCTAAAATCAATAACTGTTTTGACACCTTCTTTACATTTAAAGTTGTAAATTGAAATTTAAAAACAAGTTTATAAAATTAAAATACATTTTTGTGGATGAGTCATGCATTTTTTGTTAAATAAAAATTAGAAAAATTAGAATGGTTGACAAAATTTTAATCCTAGGACAATTTTGCTGTACATGTTATAATTAAAACTTAGCTTCAAAATAACTTATACAGTAGAATCATGCCCTCACTAATCAAAATGTTATTATTATGGTAAGTTGCAGATTAATACATTATACAATTTAGTTGTTTTATTCAACATACCATTATTGTCTTCAAGTCTCAGTTTCAATTGTTCTATTTCTTGTAGTCTATTCTCTGACAATTCCTTCCATAATGCTGTATCTGGTAGAATTTAGATATTTTATAGTCAACAATAATAGCTGGTAATTTTGAAGGGGTAAAATTTTGGTGAATTGCTAAATTTTGATGATTAGTTGGTTTTTAATTTGACAGATTTGCAGTTGAGCACGTGCATAAATGGTTCAAATTGGCAAATTTAATTGTGGCAAATGGCTATCAAAATGGTAAATTTGCCAAAATTTCCTTCTCCAAAAATTACCAGTATTACGGTATCAACTTGTTTAAAGGGCAACCGACACGGAAAAAGTGGGTGGGGATGTGAGATCAAAAATATTTTCATTATAGTGTAGAATGACTTGCAAAAATAGTTTTGGTGCAAAATAATTGCCCTTTCCTAGAGAAAAACTGCTTTAAAAATGCATAATTTACTTCCTCATTTCTGCATCCTGTATTTAGCAAATGTGGGTGTGGTCACGCGTGACATCACAAGAGGGAAGATGGTTGTTTTCTCCATTGGTTTATACACAACTTCATGTTAGAATTCTGGAGTTTTGACAATTTTAATGCAGAAAAAATGTACTCCC